TATGGGACAACTGACAAAATAGAATATGGCCTCTACCAATGTGAACATTTCTGAATTTGGTAACTGTATTGTGATTACCTACGAGACTATCTTTGTTAAGTAATCAGAGATAGAAGGTTACGGTATATTCAAATACTTTCAGATGATTAAAAAATGTAAATGGTTACCAGTCTGTGCATATATATAAGTGCATGTGTATGTGTATGTCTATATAGACAGATAGGGAGAACGAATGTGGCAAAATACTTTAAAATGGTGGATCTGGGAGGGGGGGGCGCCTGGGTGGCTCAGTTGGTTAAGTGTCCAACTCTTGGTTTCAGCTCAGGGTCACGAGATTGAGCCTGGCATCAGGCTCCACGATCAGCAGAGAATCTGCTTAAGATTCTCTCCCTCTCCCCCTACACTCCCCTCCCCTACTCTATCAAATAAATAAATAGATCTTTAAAAAAAAATGTGAATCTGTGCCTACAAACAAGAGGCACTACTTAACCCATTTTCCATTCACATAGCACCAAGGGCTCCTAGGTGTGATAAGGCCTAATACACTGGAAGGTAGAATCCCTTTGATGATCCCTGCTTTTAGAAATTCCAATTTCTTTCTCTAAGCCAGTGTTTCCTAAACTATGGCCCAGGGAACACTAGTGTCTCACAGATGTATTTGATCCATCTCCTGATTCTCAATCCACACTGGCATTTTAAATGCACTGTAAAACCCTGTGTTAGAGACATGTGTTTAGTTTTAACTTAATAGTTTCCAAATTTATTTAATCACAAACACCTTTTCTAGGAAGACCTATGAATTCTTGTGAGATGCTAATATTCTGTGGAACACAGTTTGGGAAATGCTTCTCTAAACCAAATTCAAATCTTTGGAATGGATACTGTTGGGTCTTAGAAGCCACCTATCTTTCATTTCAGTGGATTTTGTTATGGGTAATGACCCTCCCTGGGGGGACTCTGAGCATATTACCACTTGATGCCTTTCTTTGAACTTTAGAAACTGGTACAGCAAAGATTGCACGGAAATTTTAAGGGCAGAACTGGATATCGTCAGGAAACATTTAGGAAAACCAGACTAAGGAAAAATTTTTAATTAAATTTGAGATTATATTCTATAACATGGGAGTAAAAAATAGTGTAAAAGAGTTGGCAAGGTTGGCATGAAACTGGTTCAGTTAAGAACAAAGACAAACCAACTTCTGGTGGCAAGGTAAGTCAAAATAACCCTTTGGCAGAATGTCAACCCGAATCAAGAACTATAAAATATTCACATCTTTCTTGCTAGTGGTTTAATGTCTGAAAATTTATACTAGCAAATAATCAAAGAAAAAAGCATTTTGTATAAGAATATTCAGAATTGTGGATACTAACAAAACATGGCAAGCCCACTGAGTTCCCGCACTCAGTAAATGGTCCCACCAGCTACACAGTGACCTTAGGCAGAAACCTGGCCCAACGCTGGACGACTCTGCCTCCTTCACTCCCCCAACTCCTAAACCCACTGTTTCTACTCTCTATGCATCTCTCAAGTCTGTCCACGTTCTTTATCCCCGTGACAACACCTGAGTCCAGGTGTCATCATCCCCTACCTGGTCTGCTGCGGCCGTCTCCTAATACCTCCCTGATTACTTCTCTGTCATCCAGTCCATTCTCCATACTACAGAGCGACCCTTCTAGACTGATAATCTCATGATGTCAGTCTCCCTGCTTGAAAACCCTTAACTGCCCTTAGGATGAAGCTCGAATTCCTTAGCATGACTTTCAACACCCTACTTGAATGATACCAAACTACCACCTTCACCATCCCCACTGCCCAGGCAGAGGGAACTTGGTTTGGTTCCCTGAAGTGGAGCTACATCTCACTTTCAGACTTTTGCACATGCTCTTCCCTCTGCCTGGGCTGATCTTCCTCACCTCTTAGTACTTTGTGAAATAGGTATCTATAATTAAAAACTCAGGAAACAACTGAGGATGTGGAGAAAGGGGAACCCTCTTAACACTGTTGGTGGTGTTGGAAACTGATGCAGCCACTCTGGAAAACAGTATGGGGTTTCCTCAAAGTTAAAAATAGAGCTACCCTATGACCCAGCAATTGCACTACTGGGTATTTATCCAAAGGATACAAAAATAGTGATTCAAAGGTGAACCTGAACCTCAATGTTTATAGCAGCAATGTCCACAATAGCCAAACCATGGACAGAGACCAGATGTCCATCGACAGATGAATGGATAAAGAAGATGTAGGGTATTTATACAATGGAATATTACTCAGCCATCAAAAAGAATGAAATCTTGCCATTTGCAACGATATGGTTGGAACTAGAAGGTATTAGGCTAAGTGAAATACGTCAATCAGAGAAAGACAAATACCATATGAGTTCACTGATCTGTGGAATTTAAGAAACAAAACAGATGAACATAGGGGAAGGGAAGAAAAAATAAGATAAAAACAGAGAGGGAGACAAACCATAAGAGACTCTGAACTCTAGGAAACAAACTGAGGGTTGATGGAGGGGAGGTGGCTGGGGGGATGGGGTAACTGGGTGATGGGCATTAAGGAGGACATGTGTTGTAATGAGTACTGGGTGTTACATGCAACTGATGAATCACTAAATTCTACCCCAGAAACTAATAATATACTATGTGTTAAAAATTGAATTTAAATTAAAAAATTAAAAAGAATAGGTACCTATGTTTATTACCTTTGCTTCCTCACATCTCACTCACCACACAATCTGGTTTCTGCCTCTTCACTGCCCCAATGTTTCCCTTGACCAAGTCATCAAGGAAAGAAAAAGAAAAAGGAAAGGAAAGAGGGGAATTTTTAAAATCCTGTGTAGCACTATGTATCAGGCACTGTGCTAAGCACTTTATGAATATTCATTCATTTATTCTCCCAACAGCTCTGTGTCCTTCATAACAGCAATAGGTATCAAAAGACACAGAAGATACCACTTTCACTTTTACTCATGTTTTTCTGCCAAATTCTTCTCTGCTCTCTTTGCCAGGTTACCCTTCTTGACTTGACCAATGAACACTGAAGTTACTTAAGGCTCTGTCATGTCCTTTTATCTTCTCACTCCATAAACCCCCCCGGTGATCTCATCTTCTCCTAAGGCAACCACTGCGTATAAGTAGATGACTTCCTGACCTTTTTCTGAGCTCTAGTCCTGATTATCTGACATTTCCCCCTGTATGGGCATCTCAGACCCGCCATCGACACCTGAGCTCACCAGCTCTCCATCACCCGTCAACACCTGCTCCCCAACCACCACTGTACCTGGCACAAACATCCACACAGTTGTTCAGACCAGAAACCCAGGAGTCATCATTGATTCTTCCCCATTCCCTCTTTTCCCCACATCCAATCTATCTCCATACGTCATCAATTCTACCCATCTGCTTTGCTTCATCCTTACTATCATCATGCTTGTCCAAGGCACCATCATCTTTAGCCTTTGCTACTTCAGTAGTCTCCTAACTGGTCTCCCTACTTCCACTGTTGGCACATTTTCCCTGGTCCATTCTCTTACATACCAGCTAGAAAAATCTTTCTAAAAACAACTGGGTTTGAATTTGGGCTATGCCATTTATTGGCAACGATGGTAGTCCTGGGCATATCACTCAACCTTTCTAATTCTTGACTTCCTTATCTATAAAGTGGACATAATACTATGTCACAGGGTGATAGTAATTAAGAGAGATAATCCAGATAGAGTGACAGAATAGGACATTCTAAAAACTGTGCATGGGCGTATACATGGTCCGACAATTTTAAAAAGAAAAGAGCAATCTGGGGGCGGCTGCGTGGCTCAGTCGTTAAGCGTCTGCCTTCGGCTCAGGTCATGGTCCCAAGGTCCTGGGATCGAGCCCTGCACTGGGCTCCCTGCTCGGCGGGAAGCCTGCTTCTCCCTCTCCCGCTCCCCCTTCTTGTGTTCCCTCTCTCACTATGTCTCTGTCAAATAAATTAAAAAAAATCTTAAAAAAAAAAAAAGAAAGAGCAATCCAGAACTCTTAGTCCCATGTCATTTCGTCTCATTTGAAATAACAAAAATGAGTTCAATTTATATTTTACAATTTTAACAGGGAAAAATTCAGACAAAACAATTTAAAATGTGCTCTTAGCAGATGCTGCAATACAAAAACATTGAACTCACTGTGATGGTTAATCTTATGTGTCATCTTGGCGAGGCCATGGTGCCCGGTTTTTAGGTCAAACACTAGTCTAGATGTTTCTGTGAATGCATTTTGTAGATGTGATTACCATTTACAATCAGACTTGGAGTAAAAGAGATTGCCCTCAGTGATGTGAGTGAGCCTTAGCCAATCAGTTGAAGGCCTAAAGAGCAAAAAGCCGAGGTTTCCTGGAGAAGAAGGAATTCTGTCTACAGACTATAACGCAAAGATCCTGCCTGAGTTTTCAGCTGGCCTGCCTACCCTATGGATTTCAGGCTTGTGTGCCCCACAGCTGTGTCAGCCAATTCCCTAAAATCAATCCCTCTCTCTCTTTCTCTCTATATATCCTATTGCTTCCGTCTCTCGGGAGAACCCTGACTGACACACTCACATAGGACTCCTATGATGATAAAGTAGATCAGCAGCTAACAAATGACAACTCCAAGTGGCTTCAAGTGAAGATTTTAGAGTATAGTAGAAAAGAACCCTAATCAGTTTAATAACATAAGCTCTAAATGGATAAACATGAAAAGATAAAGAACTTCAGAAAATAAGACTTGAATCATGCCACTAATATGAGAAAAGCTGTCTTCAGGGAGTCTTGGGCTATCTGAGGACCATGCACCTGGTAACAGAGGACCCTATCCCATACTCATCCACTCAGACATCTATATGAAGATGTTTATTGAACATCTACTCCAGGCCAACTGTTCTTATCCAGAGCAGATAACAAAACCGGGCATTCTCAGAGCTGCTATTCCACTTGTATCTATGAAAAGCACTGGGTCCAGAAGAGCTTTGGTGGCCAGCATATTGCAGCTTACCTGTAGAAAATGGTTGATAGATGCGTCGTGAAGTCCCAGGGCTTGCTCAACACCTGCTAATTCCCTCAATATTGGTACACACTCAAAACTTTTTTCACCTCTACTGATCTCAGTATATTCTAAAGCCTCTTGGTAGTGGGGCAGAGCTTCTTTTGGTTTCTTCTGACTTTGATATATCCTAAAAAAAAAAAAATCAAAGAGATTATTTTTTAAATAATTAGAAAACATATAGGTGGGAAAATATATAGATCTGGTGGTTAGGATTTGGCTCTCTGACCCCTGTTGTCCAGGTTCACTTCCTAGCCAGCTAAGTTTTTGTTTCCTCCGAAGAGGCAGCAGGGCATGATGATCAAGTGGAAAGACCTTAGAATAACGAGGAAGTTTTGAATCCTGGCTTCACTAGTACCAGATGTGTGAATTTCCAGTTGCTTCACAGCTTTCTCATCTCTAAGTTAAGAATAATAACAGTGCCTACTTTATTGGGTTACAATGAAGATTAAATTAGTTAATACTCGGGGCGCCTGGGTGGCTCAGTTGGTTAAGCGACTGCCTTCGGCTCGGGTCATGATCCTGGAGTCCCGGGATCAAGTCCCACATCAGGCTCCCTGCTC